AGACACCCCCCCCCCAGGGCCCCGCCAGCATTCCTTGCCCCCCGCCCCCCCCCCTTTCCTGCAAGCCATTCCTGGTGCCAAGAGCCAAGGAAGCAAGTAGGTGTGGGATGGGGGGAGGTTATAGGGCCCCTTGTCCTGAGGGGTTGGAGGAGAATCCCCTCTTCCTTCCCTTCTCCCCTGCAGACCTCCCGAGCCCCCTGATCCTACCAAATCATCCCAGACCCTATGAGCCCTGCTCCCAATCCCTTTTGAGTCCCCTGTGCAGTATGTAAAATGACTTTTAGGAGAGGCCCAGTGCAGAAGAGCTTTTGCTCCAGTTTCTTGGCTGGTTCAGGACAAGATCGCTCAGGAGTGAGTTCAAGACAAACCCAAAGTGTCTGCACCTCTGTTGTAATACTTTGTGGAATGACCTGACTCTTAGAAAGGAGAAAGGGAGGTGGGAAGCTTCTTGGAGGGAAGAGCCTGGTATGCATTAGTGTGATAGCTGGCTCCACTGTAAGGGCAGGCATGGAAGAAGGAGTGAAGGGAGAGTTGTGGGGATTTTTTCTTTTGGCAAGGAGCAGGTTGTAGACTGAAATGATGGCAGAGCCAGGCAGGGTTTCTGTGTACTTTTTCTAAGTGAGAAACTTCAGCTTCATGAAGAGAAGTTGTAGAAGTGAGAACAACAATGACCTAAATTGAACTATATGTGCTTGTAATCACTACTGACACTTGAGAGTTGTGTTCAGAAGGGTTACATCTTCAGTTTTAAATCTGCCTTTTGTAGTCGCTCTAATGCAATACAAAGCACGTGAGCCTCTTTATTTTTTTTTGCCTTAACACACTCACTATCTCACTGTGACAACATCACTTAAGTGTAGCTTTTATGGAAATGTGAGAAGAAAATAGTGTAATTGTGCTACAGTACAGAGCTATTGCTATCCAGAAAGACTATTGCAGCAATAGGCCGGAGATTATTTTTGATGCAGAAGGAAGACTTTGACCCTCTGGAGTGAAAGTGACATCTGCAACCCCGAGCTGTTCTGTCTCTTTCATTTTGCCCTTTAACCCCTTGTAGCAGATCGGTGCTTTCTGGGGATTAGGGGAATACTGGCAGGCGATGGGAGTTTGGGATCAGAAGACAGAGAGACAGCTCTGAAAATAATTCTCGGTTTGCTGCTGTTGCAGGGCTGTGCCTGAAGCTTTGTATATTAAGATTACGAACTCACTGTTTTCCTCTGCTCTCTGGAGCCTGATTCAGGTTTTTTTTGTGTTTTTTTAAACCGTGAAGTCCAATCTCTACTTTTTGAGCCTCCACAACAGTGCATATTGCTACTTTAGGCTGGCTGCTACTACTTCTGTTTCTTTGGAATAGTCTGTTCAGATGGGGTTTCAACATTAGGGACTGGAGTCGTTTCACTATGAATACATCTCCTATTTCAAGAGACTGGAACAGGTAAGGAAGTGGTCTCTGAGGAGATGCTGCCCTGTGTCTAGGAAGTGAGGCTTGTTACAAAACACTTAGCAGGCTTTGGAAATGCTGTGGGGTATAAAGCTTTGTCTTTACTGCAGAAAATGTTATTCCACAGTGAACGCCAGTGTGTATGGTGAGCCATCCTATGGTAAAAATCAAGTGAAGATAAGCTTTTAGCCTAATTAAGAACCTCCCACCCATGACTGTATAGTTCTGACCCTGCCTATCTACCTCCATAGTAAGAACAGCAGATACCTTGTTTTGCCCGAGTATTTCAACTGGATAACCACCATGAGGGAGTTCTGCCTTGGGTAGGTTTTTCTTTTTGCAGCCCTTTTGACAATAAAGATGTAGCTTAAGGCAGCTTTCTTGCTGTAGATGAATAAAGCACTTGGGTCTGTTATAGCTGAGTGGAATATCATGTCCTCTGACTCTTTTGACAAGGGTCTGCAGCTGAGTAATTTTGATTTTTATGTTCCGTCACAAAATGGTTAATTCTAGTCAAACTTTTTTGACGCTGATCCACTACTCTGGGCATCCACCCTACTAGCTAATAAGATGATGAAGGCAGATACTCATGCATTCCTCTCCTGTGGTATCCCAGGGGGTGGCTGGTTCAATAATACTGTTCCTTCTGAGTAAGGCTGTGGAGGCATTTTATAGTGTGTCTATGGAGAAATTGAATTTTTGGTTGTTTTTTTTCCTGGGGTCACTTGGATTTAGGTCCTGCTACCTGTACTCCTGCCCCCCACCCACGTTCTTTAGACTGCTTAAATATTCTAATACTTTTACTTGCTTTTTGACTAGTATATCATAGTCTTAGCTTTTCTTAATTTCAGTTTAGAACTTAATTATCCCTTTTTGTGCTGTGCCTGAAGTTCAAACCAATATATTTTAAGGTCCTTGCAGTCCAGATGGTATCACAGCATCATACGCCATATGGACATATATGGGTAGGTTACTCGAATAGGGACTTAAGTTGAATAGGTAGGTGCTGTGAAAGGGAGGCGTTCTTTGATTCACTAGCTTGTGCTTTCTTCTGAATAATGGATTGGCAGGATGTCCAGGGTGTTGTGCATCTGGCCAGACTGCCTTTTGAGTTAAATGGATGCTGCCCAGTTGTTTGTGGCCCTTGAGAATCTGGAAATGTTTTTTTGGGCTGACCTGGTGTCCTGGTGTACGGTCTTCTGTCTACTATAGTTCATTCTTCAGTGTGAAGTAGACGTGTGTCCCTAGCTGCTAATTGCATGGTATTGAGACGCCAGTAAAAAACTTGCAGGTTCCAGCCGAGTGAGTGTGACCCAGCGGTGGGTGAAGTGATTGATGCATGGCACTCAATCTATACGGTGTGTTGAGCTCCTTAGTTATGGCAGTAGGCAGAAATGCGCAGTATTGGGTGTTTGTATGGCTGAGGGTCTGCCATGGTGTGAACCTTAAATCTTCAGGACTGTGGGGGGCTGACCTCTAAGACGTATGGTACTCTGTGTATGCTAGGTAAAGTCCATTAAAACCCCCCACAAATCTATGTGATTCATTCCTTTTATATATTGGATCTCCTTTCTTCCTTTCAGTTTGGTATCATTTGTCCATTTTTCTTTTTCTTAAATGCCAGATACTTGCAACTATGTTGTTGTCAGATTAAATTCTGTTTGTTTTTTTTTTTTTTTTTTTCAGCGCATCTCGACAAACTGCATGGTGCTGACCTATTCCTAACTACTGGCTATCTTAAATAGACCAATCCTATTTTTCATCTTTTTATGTAGGCCAAGAGACTTAACTTGTAGAAGTGCCCTGATTAAATGACTTTTCCCGGTCTCTTTCTTAAATCTTTGTTGTGGCAGAAGATTGCCTTGTGTTACAATAGGACATCAAGTAAATGAGATTTAAAAGTAACCCAGATGAAGAGAAAAATGAGTCCCTTGGGTTGATGGGCACTATCTCATGTAGTCGATTTAAAGAAAACATTTCTAACTTCAGGGCAAAAGTCAGATCTGCCTTGGGGGTGGCAGTGTGTTTAGTGGAGTGGCCCAGGGATTGGAGCTGCAGCTTTTATATTGCCTCCATCCCACCAGTGCAGGAACGGTGGCCTGGGGCACTCTTCCCCACCAGCCTGTCTGGGTGGGT